CAAAGGTACAAAAATAATTGAGTGGAGAAAGATTGGTATTTCTAACAAATGGTGCTTGGAAATCGCAAATCTGAATGCCAAAACAAAAAATCATAAAGTTAAATGTAAGTCTAAAACTATGAAATTCCTAAAATAAATCATAAGAATAAACCTTTGTAAACTTGGATTGGGCAAACATTTCTTAGATATGAAGCCAAAATCATGATCCATAAAGGAACAAATTGGTATGTTGCCCTTCATCAAAATCTAAAACTTCTGCTGTTTGAACTTCATTGTTAAAGGCATGAAAAACCAAGCACAAACTGGGAGAAAAAATTTGCAAATATCCATTTATCTGATAAAGAATTTGTATGCAGAATATATAGAGAACACTCAAAACTCAATAATAAGTCAACAAAAACGCAATATAAAATGGGTGAAGATTGAACATACCCGTTACATAATAGGCTATACAATGGCTATTAGGCACAGGAAAAGGTGCTCAGCATCATTAGTCATTAGGTAAATGCAAACTGAATCAGAATAAGATGCCATTAAACGCTTATTAGCATGGCTGAAATTAAAAAGATTGATCCTACCGAGTGCCGGTGTGCAGGTAGAGGACCTTCAAACACAGCTGGTGCGAACGTGGAATGGTGCCACCAACTTGGAAAACAGCCTGGCAGTTAATTCTAGGATTAAAAATCTACCTACATGTGATTCCATCATTCTACTCTAGGTTTTACCCAAAAGAACGGAAACCACATGTCTATACAAATACTTGTGAAGAAATATTCATAGCAGCTTTATTTGTAATAGGCGAAACCCAGAAACAATTCAAACATCCACCAACAGTGGAACGGAAGAACAGACTGTAGCATATCCATACCATGGAGTGCCACTCAGCAGGAGAAAGGGGTGAACTGTTGCTCATTGTATCTGAGCATATATGTGTACATGTGTATGTTCACGTGTATTTTGTAACAAAACAGATGATCCTTGTAGTAATTATGCTGAGGGAGAGAAGCTAGATTAAAGAAAAAGTACTTACTGTATAATTCCATTGACATAAAATTCTAGAAAATGCAAAGTAATCTATTGCAGTGAAAAGCAAATCAATATTTGCCCGGGGAAGGGAGGAGGCAGGAAGCTGGCGGGGATTACAAAGGAGCATGAGGAAACTTTGGGGGGCGAAGGAGATGTTCATTATCTTGATTATGGTGATGGTTTTATGAATATATAAGTATGTCAAAAGCTTCCAGATGGTACACTTTAAGTATGGGTCAATTTTTGTCAACGTGAGAATTATACTTCAATACGAAATGCTAAATGAAATTAAATTTTTTTAATGTTTATTTGAGCATTTCCTCTAGGAGTTTATTGTAATTACTAGTCAGTCATTGTCACTTGTGTGAGATCTTGTTTAGAGTCTGAGTCAGGTACTATTTTATCATTTTAGTTTAAATCCTTTTCTAATAAGTAACATTAAACCAAAATATCTCGAGAACAAACAATTTTGAAGATTTAGCCGGTGAACTGATATAACGACTAAAATGATGTGAGGACGTGCTTACCTTTTCAACATCTCATTGCTAGTTCTACTTTAAATTGACAGTTCTTTTTTTTGGAATTCAAAAATGTTTTAAATGTGAACGTGTTCTAGACAAGTGTTTGCAAATCATTAAGATTATACATGTGTTATATAGCGAGGCCTGGAATATTCCTGTGCTTGGTGAAAGTGTGCCATGTGGGAGGAGGCAGAATATCTCAAGGTCCCTGCTTGGCAAATGTGACCGCCTGCTGCTGTCCCTCATTTCTGACATACAGAAGGAGAGGGGTCAAAGTCCAAGTCGTATGTGCCACGGCAGGCTGCTCGGTTGTCATGACGGGCATCTCTTCACAATCGTTGAGACACCAGCTTACGTTCTTCCATCCCACTCCACCCTGATGGCTGAGTAAAATGTGATTTTTTTTCTGTCATATCCATTTTATTTGGATCAAATACCGACATAAGACTTACAGAAAGTGTGAATCTTATTTTGAGAAACTGGGCTATCAACGTCTGTTAGATCGAGTGAGTGCCCACAATTTGTTAGGCATACGTGGAAATAAAAACCTTTAAGATGTGCACGTTGTAGAGATGTCTGAGGAATCCTTCCCTGAGCACGTTATTATTCTTTTCCCGACAACCCACTAATGGTGACAATAGGATTTCTGTGTGTGGATGAGGCTGAAAAGACAATATAGAACTCGTGTCACCTCTACACTGTGTACACTTGATATTTGTCATTTGCTTCATGCTGGCAGCTGCAATTTGAGTGTCTCGTTACAGTTTATTCTGAGCTGTGGCTAAAGAATTTCTTTTGTAGCTGGATGTCATCTTGATTTGTCTGTCACTGCTTTCCACAATTGCACCATGTTGCTTGAAAATGTTAATCAATGGCTCATGGAAACCTCTCTTGTTTGTGACGACCTCTCTTTGGTTCACTTATACAATAGCTGGTAGATTGTCCTGTTGTTGTTTTCCTTTGAAATTCTTGATCACGTCTTGGGGTAGCTGTAAGGTATGATATGAACTCTTTGCTGTTGGAATGGGCTCTTTTCCAGAAATTCATGACAGCTCATCTTGGCTTTCTATAGAAAGCTGTATCAAGTGAATGCTTGAGATCCTGAAAACGTTGCGTGTGGTTGGTCCATGTCTCACAGCCGGATCATAGGGGAGAGACGTGGAGATTCACGGACTAAATTCATTCGCCCGGCTTGTTGCTGGGGCTACGGCGTTAGACTTCTAAAGCAGACGCCAGCTTCAGGATTCCAATCTGAGCCCATGTACCATGTTTAATTTTTCATTTATTCAACAAATATTTCTTAATTACTTTTTTGGATCAGGTACTGGGGCTTTAGTGGAAAATAATAAAAAACTGTCATTTATCGTTGGGTCATCGGCTAGTAATAATTTTAGTTTGGGTAAGATCTTGTACGTATAGGTTATGAGTTGAGCTGTATCCTCCTGAAAATAAACTTTGGAGCCTTAACTCCCAATACCTCAGAAGGTGACCTTATTCGGAAATAGGGTCATTGCAAATGTAATTAGTTAAGAGGCGGTCATGCTGGATTAGGGTGGATTAGAGAGGGCCCCTAATCCAGCATGACTGTGGTCCTTATAAAAAGGAGACCATGTGAAGACAGAGACATGGGGAGCGCTGTGTGGTGACAAAGGCAGAGACTGGAGTCAGGCGGTGGCAAGCCAAGGAATGCCAAAGATTGCCAGCAAACCACCAGCAGCTGGGAAGAGGCAAGGAAGGACTCCCGGCAGGTCTCAGAGGGAGCCTGGCTCCATTGACACCTTGATTTCAGACCTGTAGCTTCCAGGGCCGTGAGACAGGAAATCTCTGTTGTGTAAGACGGCAAGTGGTACTTTGTGATGCAGCCCTCGGAAACTGATACAATAGGGGTTCAATATTTTTACTGGCTTAAATTATTGCCTCTTCGGAGAAATTGTTTCTCTGAAGTTGTCAATCTCCTTTGGGCACTTACTCCTACAAGAATTTGATAAAAGATATGTAAACTCTCCAAAAGAAAAATTCAGTGATAAAAATCCTAAACTCTTAAATTTGGAAAAGACCTTTCAAGGTCTCTGTTTCAACCTTCTGCTTAATGCAGGGCTGCTTCCATACCCTCAGTTCCCTACCAGAGAACTTGCAAAAAGGAGTGGTCACCGCCTTACAGGGTGGTACCTTCCACTCTAAATTTTTAAATTTCTTTTTTAACTGTGATTAATACATATAACATAACATTTACTATCTTAATCGTTTTGAGTGTATAGTTAAGTAGTGTTAAATATCTACATTGTTGTGGAACCAATTTCAAAAAAGTTTGCAAGAGCTTTTATTTCATCTTGCAAAGCTGCAATTCTATATCTGTTAAACAGACTCCCCAGTTCCCATAGGAAAGCTTTTCCAGAAAGTTCTTTTTTTCTAATGATTTCTAGAAGAGAGAATTATCTTCTTAGCTACTGACCTGAGCTCATTTCAATTCTACCCTCTGGAGTTGATGCAACTGGCATAACACCTCTTCTGCACGAAAACCCTATAAATGATTACTGTTATTGTTGTTGTGTCATTTGCCTCCCAGGAACCCAGTCTCTAAAGTGTCCACATCTAACCAGGCAGCAGCACCTCTGACTTGGGTCTAACAGTCCCTGGATTTTTGATCTCTTTTTGGAATCCATTTCCACAAGGATTACTCTGATCTATATTTACTCACTTCTCTTCATGTCCTTTGATTTCCATAAATCTATTTCAACCTTTGAAAATTATCATCTAGCTTCATGTAGGTACCAGGATAGTATTTGAAACACACCTTTGTGTCACGTTTCTCCTTTAGGACCTGTATGTTAGTCCTCCATTTCCCGTCCTAGTCCATCTAGTTCCTCAGGCCAGCGTTCTTTCCAGGTCTTTGATTAACACCCCCGCCCTCTGGTTCTGAGTCACCTCTTGACCCACCTTGCCATGCTCCTCCTGCTCCTTCCTTCGAGCCGCGAAGTCTTAGGATGTGTAGCATTTCCCAGCGCCATCTTTCAAGACAGACAGAACTGTGATTGAATTTTGTCACTTCCAGGTATGTGACCTGGGCCAATATATTTAGTTTCCTAGAATTAGGTTTTCCTCCTCTGTAAAGTGGGGATAATGTCTTTTTTATTTACTGTATTTTTATGAGAACTAAATGAGAAAAGGTAAGAAAAATGCTTGGTAAAGTGTTTCATAGTAAAAAATCAATACATTTTAATGTTTTTATTCATGTTATTATTATTTCTGTCCATTTGACGTGATGACCATTTTATGTACGTAAATCTTATTTCTCTGGTTAGAATTTAAGACTTCTAGAGGCAAGAACCAAGCCTTAAACTTCTTTTGAACTGTCCATAGTCATTGAGACAATGCTGTCCACATAGCAGTAAATGAAATCATGTATTAAATGAATACGTGAAGATAGTTTTTCTGAAAATAGGGTGAGTTAGACTAAGAGATTGCTGCAAAGTTGGCAGATGCCATATTTCAGATACTATTCTCTTGTACCCTTATGAAGATGTGTACAGATCTGTCTTATAAACAGGAACATTTTATGCCTCATTAGGGCACTGTAGCAACATTGAAGCTGTTTTGACAACAATATGGTCGGGGCATCTGTGAGGCAGCAACAGGATGGCTAATGATGGATGCGTGTATCTGCCCACATGTCCTTCTTTGGTCAGATGTGTAAATAACGAGAATCTCTTCATTAAGATGTGGCTTTGAAAACTTCACTTTCTAGAATCACTGTGACACATGCTACAGAAAAAAGCATTGAACTCTTCTTTCAGAGCAAGAGGCTGTGATGATCTCCAATCATGTGTTCTGTAATGTGTTACTCATTGCATCTTACTGTGTTACCACAAAAAGCTCCACATCAGCCACAGTCTATACCATCATTTAATATTTATGCTATATCATTTCAAATGTAATTATAGTGTAAAGCAAGTTTTGCTTTGATACAGAAATCAAGGTAAATACTCACATATGGAATACAAGGTCATTATTAATGACAATGAAGGCTCCTTTTGAATTTCCTTAATATTTAGCATACCATATGTTTGCCCAGCCAGCACAGTGACGTTTGCTTTATATCACCTAGATTCTCTTTTCTCCTCTGCTGTACGTAGTTGCCTTCATTTCTGATTATGTACTTTCTTACTGTGACCCAACTTTTAAGTGAACTCGTTAATGTAGGAAATATTTACTGGGTGCTTTCTACACATCAGACTGCAAAGGGCAGGGGAGATGCTGTTGAATAAAAGAGATACAGTTACAGCCCTAAAGAGCTTACCTAATTAATTATTTCATTACAAATAAAATTAAAGATGACTTTAATTTTAGCAAAGAAATAACATAGGCTACATATAAGTGATGCCAAAACCAAACAGTGATGCCTGAAAATAGTTATTCTAATTGGCATTATGTAACAGCACTAACTCAATATGCTCTTAGAAATTTCAGTTCGAATTTACAAGATGAGTGAATTACAATGCATTTTGTGGCAGAAGAGAGTAATTACTTTCCTTATTTATCACACAAATTAAGGCACATTACTTCAAAATACTTCTACATTTTCAGAATGCTTTGGTTTATTTTTATTATGAGCTATGAATTATGCTTCAATGTCTGTGATTTTATGAATTAGGACAGAAATAAGTTCTGCTGATTTAAAATGATTTTGTAGATATAAAAACATTATTCTCGCAATGCCTCATCTTGTTTCTTTGCATTAGTTCACTTCTCTTCTAAAGCTTGAAAAATGCCTGTGCTGTTAATATTACTTTATGAAGCCAGATCGCCACATGCTCGTTACATGTTCTTTTGAAGATGAGGGCTTTTTTGGGTAGTGATTCACAGTGTCAATATTTTTCCCCATAAATAAAGATGATAGCACATTATTTAATTTATAGAACTAATTTTTACTAAATGTAGATTTTTATTAAATGCAAATTGACTACTAAGTAGTCAAATTTCTTAATGACCATGTAAGAATTAGTTGAGAAATGACTTACATTTCTGTTCTCTGATTGGTGAATAATGAAGGAGATTTTCTACTTACTTTGGTTTACTCAGCATTTCAAAAAGAGTTCTCTAGAATCTATCCAGTTTTCTAAATCCTGGTGGAGTTATTGTTGAGGCTTGGCCTGCAGTGTGAAAATATACCCTTGAAATGAAAATAGAATGACAATTAGAATTCCCTTTTCCGTTTTGGGGTCTTTATATTTTAAATGGTGTTGTTTTAGGCTAAGGTATTTCCTAGTGAATTTAGTGTAAACTGGGGGGTGAGAAACATTATAAAATTCAACTTGTGGCTTTTCTAATTCTGCTTATTCTAGGTCATATGTAATCTCTGGTGATATTACTTGGAAATATAAATTAGTGTTTGTTGTGATGTTGCAGAGAATTTATAAATAATCTTAGCTTTTTTTTTTCTTTTTCAATTTGTTATTCGCTCAGAGGCTCTTTCCTCACTCTGAAGATCTGTGAAAAGAAGATAACGTTGCCCCTGCACCCCTAGATTATCGCTGCTTGAAATCTCCCTGGACATGATTCCTCGTACATTATGGAATTGAACAATGTCCAGTTCAATTTAATACAACATGACTGTGAAATGTTATCCCAGGTTTTTTTTAAAGAGGTTGATCCTGGGCCGGCCCCATGGCTGAGTGGTTGAATTCCCGGGCTCTGCTTTGGCGGCACAGGGTTTGGCCGGTTTGGATCCTGGGCGGGGACGTGGCACTGCTTGTCAGGCCATATTGAGGCGGCATCCCACATGCTACAACTAGAAGGACCTACAACTAAAAAAATATATATACAACTATATACTGGGGGGATTTGGGGAGACAAAGCAGGAAAAAAAAAAAGATTGGCAACAGTGGTTAGCTCAGGTGCCAATCTTTAAAAAAAAAAAAAAAAGAAGGATGCAGCTCTGTGAAGGATCAAAAGAAGGGATTGATTTGAGCCAAGAAAAAAAAAAAAAAAGAGGTTGATCCTCACATGAACTTTAGAAACAGATTGAGATATGCTTTTGAAACTTCATGTTTCATCAGATTCTTTCGACGTTAGGTCTCCTTTCCAACCTTCCAGCATATCGTATCATACTGTGTCATCCGAAACTCTGGGCTTAAGGCTTATCTCAACTATAATTATGATTTTTTCCATGAGAGTGGGCTTTCTTTCAGCATCACTTTCCTTCATATTACTAAGTTTAGTCACTTCCGTATATAACATAGGAATTTTTGTTGGCTAAGGTGCCCAGGAGATGGTCAGAAAAGTTTATCTGCAAATATGAGGTAAAGTTGTCCTGGGATGTAATCTTTATTATAGACCTGGTGACAAGTTATCTTTATGTGACAAAAGACACAAAGAATAAACTCCAGTATAAAATAGTAACTGATCTGCTGGGATGGGTGGGCTATATTTTAGGCACTGGTTTAAGAAGAAATGTGTGATTAAATTCATAGCAATGACAACACACAATGCTTTGACTGAGGGAAGGCTTGCCGGCCTTTGCTTATGCTGTTGTTTCCCGCCTGAGACAGTCTTCAGTCTGTGCGCCTTCCCATTCAAGCTCTTCAGATTTCCCAAGGAATCAGACAACCATCCTGCAAAAGTCTTTTTTCTGCTCTTCCAGTTCTCAGCATACATTAGATGGTCTTTTTGCTGGTTGTTGTTAAAAAAATATTGCTGAGAGGAAAAATTGGGAAAAGCCTGTCATCACATTATTTTTTCTCAATTCACCATCATAAAGCAACACAGATGGCTCTCTACTGTTTTATATTAACTGTGCTTATCGTTAGTTATTTTGAATTTGGAGAAGTCTAACAATTCTTTCCTTTTGACCACTTAGTTTGCCTTGAAAGCTTTTGTAACTGCTCCTAATTTCTGGATTATTCTCACGAAGAATGCCTTTTGGAGTGAGGCAACTTATAGACAGGGTTATCTACGCTGTGTTGCCTGGGTTGTTGAAGATGCTCCAATTCAGACCTGATGATCAGTTATACAATAGACACACATTCCGAAGAGCTTCAGAATGTTCCCGCAATGTTTCCACTTTGGAACCGAAAGGGAGTGAACAATCACTGCTTATGTCCTTGTGTGTTGGGAAGCTAAATTATACAGAGCGCTCCTATGTAGTAAAGTCCTTTTAGCAGGAGCCATAAATCTTTCAAAAAGCTCTAAACTAAAATATTGAAAATGTTCTCAAGCTAAAATGTTCAATTGCATAGAGATGCATTCTTAAATAGTTACTAGCTGGACTTGATTGGAAGCAAAATGGGTATTGAATTATCAGAAACAGTGATCAGCAAGAGGTCAGAGTCTTTACATAGAGACGCACAAAAAGTCAGCTGTTAGTCGCTGCCCGTTTTAGCTACTTGCAACTTTGGGAGAGTCATTTAAACTCTTTGAGTAACTATTTCCCTCTTTGTAAGTTAGGGACTTAAACTAATAACCCCAAACACATCTTTCACTCTGAAATTATCAGCTATCTGGATGGTTTTGAGTAGTATATGTTTCTGTGAATAAAGTAGAAAGTAATGAAATGATTACATAACTATTAAATATTTACCTTTACTAAGTAAAGCCAGTTTAACCAAACTTCTGTAAATCTTCTAACAGGCCATTGATTCATGATTTTGAATACTATTTTCTCATGAAAAATTCATTGAGGCATGATGCGTGATGTGCAAAGGATGGAGAATGAGATTCCTCTTTCGTCTTCGCCTTTCATAGACTTTACAAGCGTCATTTATGCAGAACCATCCAGGCCATGCCTGCAGGAGGCCAGTGCTCTCTTATACTGGACTGAACTGAGCCTCCTATCAAGAGCCCCCACACTGATGTCCTTACAGAGTCGCCTTCCTTCTCCGGCTTCCCTTCTACCTCATGGCCCTCTGTAGAATTTACCGCCTCTGCCTTGTATCAGGCACATTTTTTCTCTGTGCCAAACACCCTACTAGACTGAAGACTTCCTGGCTATGCAAACTATGCTTTGATTATATTTTCCACAGTCCTTAAAATTGACTTAGCATGTAGTCCTTTAGTAAGTATTTGTTGAATTGAATTCATCTGCTTTTATTTACATGTCCACAAAGGTTAGATTAACAATTTTTGGACATGCATGAGGTGACTTGATCTGTGAGATCAAACCACATTCAGAATGTCATTTCCAGTGAACGTGTGGTCAGGCCTGGGTGGTTGGGATGACTAGAATGGTCTAAGACTGCCCTCCAATCTAGGGTTTCAATTGAGAGGTGACCGTAGCCTGTGGCCTTGAGACTTGCCAACACCAGGGATTTTCAAGGTTGACCTTATCCACTGTACTTTCCTTATTATAAGATACTGTCCAAAATCTTTGTATTCTTTTACCAGGTCATCACGTTTTGGCACCTTAGTTGTAGGATGATTTTAATTTAAGAATTTAAGCAGCTCAGTAGTGAAGAAGGGGACAGTGGAAAAGCAATGATGTTCAATAGTTCATGTCAGAAAATGAGTGAAAATGAAATGTGTCACTGAAACCACAGGGCGATCCAGGGAATCACCCTAATAGATAGATACCTGGCCCCGATCCTGGATTGAACTCTGATTAGCAGATCTACTGGTTCTTGGTTTTACGGTTTGGCCAAAGAATAAGGTGGTAATTTACATGTGCTATTAAACTGAAAGAATGGTCAGATGATTAGAATGAAGCATCAGGTTGTTGGAGCAGTTGCTCTCCTTCTTGGGATGCACCCACACTGAGTACCAAGCCAAGTGGCTGCAAATTACTGTCACCACAGTTGTGAGCAAAATTAAATTGCCTTTGAGCACTAAGGAAATCATGTTCTTTAGATCATTTAATGGCAGATACTTTCATCACTATTTTGTTTGTCTAAAAAAGGGGAATAAATCAGATCTACAATTATTGTGATAAAGGGTAACTTTTAACAGCTGAACTGGGTTAAAGGGAAGCACAAATAAATCAAAGGTGCAAATTAAATTTCCGTAATGATAAAAATTTTGCATGATATCAAATAGTGAGATATCCTATTAGCTGATAATCTCATTGTTATGTACCTTAGTACACCTTTCTCACATTTTATGATAATTATTTCTTGCCCAGGAACATTTGTTAAGAAAAACATTCAACACTCACCAACAGAAAGGTCACAAGATACAACTTTTCTAATTAAATTTTAGGATGAATCAAATACATTCTTTGATTTGTGCTGTGTCTACGGAATTTTGCTGATATGATTGTAGTTGACTTGTGGCAACCACAAGAATGTAAAAACAAGTCAAATAAACAGAAAGGGGTAATAATAGTATAATTAGTGTATTTTGATGCAGCTTTTAAGGGCATGTGTTATAAATGAACACATCCATAAGTAGCTCTTTTTGGTAAATTTGATATATGCAAATATTAAATATTAATCGTTTTTGGACCAGATGACCAAGCTTTTCATTAAGCACCTTCCCATTACCCTTTTCTATATCTCTGTGCCATTTAATTTCTTTTCTGTCCTGTTTATTCCTTAGGATAGATGCTCAATATTGAGGGTGTTTTTGAAAGCAAAGATGAAAATTCAATTTCTGTCTCAATTTGTTCATCAAAGATTTTAAAGAAAGGTCCATTTTCCATTTGGTGTAAGATGGCTAATAGGGGTTCCTGCTTCACAGAAGGAGACAAGTTGCAATAGGTTGCCCCAAGGATGTTCTGGTTTAGAAAATCATAACCATAATAAAAATTGTTCAAAGAACAATAAAAATCAATATTGTTATAATAATAGTTAACTTTTACTGAGCACACCTGTGTCAAGCCCTATGTTCACATTGAAATATTCATTTATCTTCTTAACGGTTCTGTGAGCTGTGAGATAGTTCCTAGTATCACCATTGTATGGATGATTCAGAGCAGGATAGTGTGTGTGTGTATTTATGAATGTATGCATGTAGGTGTCTATGTATGCACATGCATACAGTGAAATAATCACACTTACATCTATTTTAAAATCTGAATTGTTCACATAGCAGTATGTTAAACAAACATTTCCAAATCAGTTGAGATAAATCACTACCTTTTTAGCTACCTAACATTTTAATCCTATTGGCAGATATTCAGATTGCTATTTTTTTTCTATCATTAATGATGCTATAATAAAATACCTATACACATTTATATTT